CAGTATAACCCTGGCCCTCACTATAACACTGACCCTCAGTATAACCCTGGCCCTCACTATAACACAGACCTTCAGTATAACCCTGGCCCTCACTATAACACTGACCCCAGTATAACCCTGGCCCTCACTATAACACTGACCCTCAGTATAACCCTGGCCCTCACTATAACACTGACCCTCAGTATAACCCTGGCCCTCATTATAACACTGACCTTCAGTATAACCCTGGCCCCTCACTATAACACTGACCCTCAGTATAACCCTGGCCCTCAATATATCACTGACCCTCAGTATAACCCTGGCCCCTCACTATACCACTGACCACAAAATAACTCTGGCTCCCTCTCAGTATAACACTGAACAAGTCGTCAAGCGTCCAAATGGGAACAAGTCTATAACTCATCCCAACTTATCCGTGACTTTCATCTTAATTAACTCGCTAATCTTTCCGTCTGGCAAGGCCGGGTCAAGGGGTCAGGTTGGGAGAAGAAGTTTTTGAGGTCGGTCTTAGTTTCATCAATTGACGTCAGCTTTGGGGAAGCTGACGTCGTCAATTGATACCTTAGAGAAGAAGGAGTTGACATCAACAACTCTCTAATCCTTCTCTTAGTATTAACAAGTAATGAAAAGTTTAACCTCTCCGGACTGAAGATTCAAAATATTCTTGGCAGGGTTCAATCCCTTAATCCACAGGAGAAGAGAATCAAAATATTATTGGAAGGTGTTGACTTCATATAGTCAACAAGATAAGTGATTCACAGTGTGCCTGGCAGGGGTCTATCCCTGATCCCTCTTCTGAAGCCCTTCGGTAGTCTCTTCTTCTGTGGCCTCGTGCTCTTCTGAAGTTTCCTCTTCTGTAGTCCCGTCCCGCACTCTAGTCTCCTCTTCTGTTGTCTCGTACTCTTCTGTAGTCTTCTCTTCTATTGTCTCCTCTTGTGCAGTCTCGTGTCCTTGGTCTAGTCTCCTTCTGTATCACGAAACTGATTTGTAACCACTATAGTGCTGGTTCTGCAGTGATACTTGTGTGGTGGTGTGAGAGTGTAGTGTGAAGGTATGGTGTGAGGAGTTGGTGTTAGGGTATGGTGTGAGGGCTGTGAGTGTGTGAGGTGTAGAGCTGTGAGGGGTTGAGTTGTTGTGTGTGGGTGTGGTGGTGTGAGGGTTTGGGGGGGGCAGTATGAGAGAGTGGGTGTGTGGTGGTGATGCGAGGGTTGTGTTGTTGTATAAAGGTGTGGCTGTGTGAGGTGTGGTATGGTGTGGTTTGTGGTTGATGGTGTGGTGTGAAGCGTTGACTGTTAAGGTGTAGAGAGGTGAGGGCGTAAGATGAGAGGGTGAGGTTGTGTGGTAGAGGGTGAGGTTCTGTGGACGGTATATGTTTTTCTGAAATTCCAGCTCGTAGCCACGCCCTGCACACCCGGCCAATCCCTCCTGGCTCTCAATCCCTTCAGTGTGGGGGCCACACCCCTCTTCCCTGAATGTGGGGCCACACCCCTCCTCCCTCAATGTTGGGGCCACACCCCACTTCAACCTCACCTCAACCCCCACCCCAACCCCCTATCGCAAACCCCCCTAACTCCCCCTAACCCTCGCCACATTCGCTAGGTCACACCTGTGCTCACCTCTCACCTCCCCAGAGAACAGTGACGAATTATGTTTAGAAAACTGATGCGCTTAATGTGTATTGTACACGCCACACACACACACACACACACACACGCACACACACACACACACACACACACACACACACACACACACACACACACACACACACACACACACAGATTGTGCGAAGATTGTGAGAAGATTGTGCGAAAAAAAGCTAGTAGAACATCTGGAGCGAAAGAACTTTGTAACACAACATCAGCATGAGTTCAGAGATGACGCTCACAGGTTTAATTGAGTTCTATGACCAGGCAACAAAAATCAGGCAAGAAAGAGAGGGATGGGCAGACTGTATATTTCTGGACTGCCAGAAAGCTTTTGACACAGTACCACATAAGAGACTAGTGCACAAACTGGAGATGCAAGCAGGAGTGAAAGTGAAGGTACTCCACTGGATAAGGGAGTACCTAAGCAACAGGACACAGCGAGTCACCGTGAGTATTGAGGTCTCGGAGTAGTGGGGAGTCACCAGTGGAGTCCCTCAGGGATCAGTCCTTGGACCTATACTGATTCTGATACGTAAATGATCTCTCAGAAGGAATTGACTCGTTCCTCTCAATGTTTGCTGATGATGCAAAAATTATGAGAAGGATCAAGACAGAGGAAGATAGTATGAAGCTACAAGATGAACCAGACAAGCTGAAGGAATGGTCCGACAAATGGCTACTAAAGTTCAACCCAAGTAAATGTAAGGTAATGAAATTAGGAGGCCAGTCACTGGATACCGAATGGGAGATGAAGTCCTTCACGAAACGGACAGAGAGAAAGATCTAGGAATTGATATCTCGCCAAACCTGTCTCTTGAAGCCCATATCAAAAGAATAACATCAGCGGCCTATGCGAGGCTAGATAACATCAGAACTGCTTTCAGAAACCAGTGTAAGGAATGAACAAGTCTACAAAGGCCGTGACGAGGATTCGAACCTGCGTCCTTGAGCATCCCAGACGCTGCCTTAATCGACTGAGCTACGACATGGTCAAAAGGTGCGGTTTTCTGTGTGTAACTGTGTAAGGAATTCTTCAGAACCATGTATACCGCATATATAAGGCCAACCCTGGAGTATGCAGCCCCAGCCTGGAGCCCGTACCTAGTCAAGCACAACATGACGCTGGAAAAAGTTCAGAGGCATGCCACTAGGCTAGTCCCAGAACTAAGAGGCATGAGTTATGAGGACAGGCTGCGTGAACTGCACCTCACGTCGCTGGAAAACAGAAGAGCTAGAGGAGACATGATCACCACACACAAAATTCTCAGGGGAATTTACAGGGAAGACAAGGATGGACTATTTAACCCGGGTGGTACACGCTTAAAGGGACACACAGGTGGAAGCTGAGTACCCAAATGAGCCACAGAGACATTAGAAAGAACTTTTTCAATGTCAGAGTAGTTAGTAAATGGAATGTACTAGGAAGTGATGTGGTGGAGGCTGACGGTTGAGAGACGGATGAGAGGCGGGACTAAAGAGCCAAAGCTCAACCCCCGCAACCCCATTAGGAAACTGGAAAAGGTTCAAAAGTTTGCAACGAGGCTCGTCCCAGCGTTACGAGAGATGGGGTATGAAGAACGCCTGAAGGAACTGAGGGATAAGGTGAGAGACAACACAAGAGAAGAGAGAACAGGGATATGATAGGAACATATAAAATACTCAGGGAAATTGACAGAGTGGACATAGACGAAATGTTCACACGGAATAGTAACAGAACGAGGGGACATGGATGGAAGCTTGAAACTCAGATGAGTCACAGAGATGTTAGGAAGTTTTCTTTTAGCGTGAGAGTAGTGGGGAAATGGAATGCACTTCAGGAACAGGTTGTGGAAGCAAATACTATTCATAATTTTAAAACCAGGTATGATAGGGAAATGGGACAGGAGTCATTGCTGTAAACAACCGATGCTCGAAAGGCGGGATCCAAGAGTCAATGCTCGATCCTGCAAGCACATATAGGTGAGTACATATAGGTGAGTACACACACACACACACACACATGTCACTCACAAACACACAAAAGTTTGTTCACATACAAAAAGATCACTCTCACATACAAACAATCGTTCACACACACTAGTTATTCAAAAAGTGGTACCTGAGTCGACCCCATTGCCAAGCCTCTCCATCACCCCCTCGTAGGTCTCCCTTTCCCCCTCCCCACAACCCTGCCTATCTTTCCTGCCACAAACACCCCTTCCCTCCTCTTCCAACATGCACACTCCCCATCACCACACCTGCCATAACATGCACGTTCCGGCTCCTCACAGTAACCATTTCTGAAACACATTGTCTTCATCATTGTAAACTTATTCACACACTCCCCATCTCCATCCACATAAAATTTACATATCCCACTATCACTGTAACCATTTTCACCACACACCATCTACATCTACTATAATCAGAAGATTGTGCCAAGTACGTAGATCTGTTGTGAACACTAAATTTGAATGTCAATGTTAGAATAAGCTAATGTTTAAATTGGCGTTTCACTCTACGGACGTTTGGATGCACATTTCATATACATTGACCTCGTAAAGGAGGTACAAAGACCAATTCCCATTCAGGAGTGGCACAGGATCTGACTCAACCCAGCGCGTCCTACAAAGAAAGACCCAAAAGTGGTTCCATCCACCCGCCAAACCTCATGTTAGGAATGAAAAACGATTTACACAGGACTCACAACTGTTGACGTTCGAACACTTCCGGAACAAGTGCTTCACTGACGAATTTTGTTCGAACCACAACCCTGTAAATGCTTCACCCACGTATTACAAATACAAATAATCGCCAACAGAACCTAAACACCTAACCTAATCTAACCTATGCTTATATGTGCATAATATACTAATATATTATAATATTAATTTATATTTGAGAAAATTCCCGTTTTGAATGAACAGTATGTAAAAATTTACGAATGCGTCTGTGCTGTCGACCACTGGATGTAATGGACTTGAGTTGAGAACGGGTTGCTCAACCGCCCAACAAGATTCGCTATAAAACAACCAATCACCATGTAAAGTTGAGTGAGGCTAGCCCCAAGCGTCTGCTTTCCATCCTTCGACGGATAGTTAGACATTCTATTTTATAGATAGACTAGTAAAGGTACCCGACTGTGCTTGAGTCTATCCACCCCTTCCCCACTCTCTGTCTTTTTCTCCGTCATATAACCATCCTAAGTACTCCTCACCTATCCTATAAGAGTCTATAATCTTCCTCCAATACAGCAATCACCCCCACCCCTCCTCTCCTTCCCATCCTCATCTATATACCCCAAACACCTTCCCACACCATATGCATCACTGAACATGGACACACTTACAACATCCTTCCCCCATCTTCCAGTGTCTGCAATCAAATGTTACCAGTGCAACAGCCACCAGAACGACACGTGCAGGGACCTGACGTTGCCCAAGGCCAACGACTACCTGAAAGAGTGTAAAGACAACGGAACAATCAAGTATACTCTATGCAGGAAGCTCGATATCTACCTCGACATGGACTTCGGCAAAGGTACGTTGGTGTTTAGTATTGACTGAGTATATTTTGGACCCGGGTTAGAGCCCCGCACTTCTCCTCTCTCAATTAGTATATATATCTTCGATTCTAAGAATTTATAAATTAATATTGTTGCGATATATATATATATATATATATATATATATATATATATATATATATATATATATATATATATATATATATATATATATATATATATATATATATATATGGGTGTGTATGGGTGTGTGTGTGTGTGTGTGTGTGTGGTGTGTGTGTGTGTGTGTGTGTGTG